GTGGCAGCAGCACAACACAGGGTAGTGGGGGGCATGGCTGCTTGCTACTGGGCCACCACCATGCTGCCAAAACCTCCCACCGCCGCCGCAAACTGAAGCCCTACCCCCCACCCCGCGTAAAGTTGAATTCGTGCAAGTTAAATGCGCATATGACGCGACTGTACTGTATGTATTTATTGTAACAGACCCTGAAACAGAGTATTCCAACTCCTGCAAGTGCTGAAGCTGCCAAAGTTCACCAGGCAATCCTCTGGTGTTTTCTCCTCAAGACTGACCAACTTCAACAGACGCAAGCTGAACTCCCAGTGCCCCACACAAAATACCTGCTGATCCATTCCTGGTGATTATTTTGTTTCTTTCGGACTGTTTGAGTGCCTCGCTGTACACTTGGGAAGGTTTTTGCACTGACCACCTCCATAACTCATGAAGGAAAATGAAACTTTGCATGTACTAACTACTCACATGAACCACAGCACATACTACCACCACACCAGGCAGGTGTTACTGGCATACATCCAATTTGAGTAATAGATCTCTGTTGTAGCAGCACCTATGCAGTTCTACCTGTGAAAGAGCCTCTCCTTAGGAATTCTAAGAATCACGAGCTCTCTTGACCAAGAAAGAGAAAGAACAAAATCTTGACAAACACCAGCAGCAGGTCAGAAGCTGCTCCATGAGTCCCTCAAGAAGGGCTATGATGCTGAGGATGAAGACTATGAGAAAGTCATGTTCCATCATTATGTTTGGCAAAATAAGCAGAGAAGACCCTGGTCTACTTTAAGAGTTGTTTGGATAAAAATAGTCCCAGATGCAATGTCCTTCTCAAATGGAATTTCAGTGACCCCGATTCAACCACACTAAACTACATCAGTCATATCCTTGAAATGTGTTAAACAGACCTCATATGCTCCCTGTGTAAGCAGATACAAAGGAACATCACATAGCTCTATAAAGGAGTTGTGTCCCTGCTACTTCTCACAAATACCTGCTCTATTCACACACCAACTGCTGCAGCTTCCTGAGCCTGACAAAGGGTTTTTGAACCCGAAAGCTTGCTTAATAACTATTCTCCAACCATTTGGGTTGGTCTAATAAAAGATATCAAATTCACCCAAGGAACCTTGTCTGCCTATATCCTTAGACCAACACGGCTACAACCTAAACCCCTGCTCTATTCAGTTATTTTCCCAAGCCATTTCAAGTCTCCCAATGCTGCTAGGAAATAAAATCTTTGCAATTTAGTGGGACTCCCAAAAGGTCAAACTTACCAAACACCAACAAGCTATTCCAAAGACCTCTTTTCCCACCACCCTACTGTCCTGTCAGAGAATGTGTTTGCATTGGAGGATGGAAGCAACATGCATTGGAGGATGGTGGCTAGGAAACATGAACATGAATGTGTATGTTCAATGGAAGAAAGCTATAGAGTTACTGACAGTAGTACACTTGGACATAAGTTGATTCCCATATGTGATCACTTCTCCACATAAACACATCACATGAACCACATGAAGATATACAATAGAATAAAGTAATAAAATAAAACTGTGATCACAATGGATGAAAAATTCACTATTTGTGCGCATTGTTCCTCCTCAAACTCTCACCAAAACAGATCTCAATTATACAGTCAATGAATGCACAGGAGGGGAGTTCAGTCCTAGGAGCACAGTATTCTAAGTTACCCCATAACTATGACATCAGGTACCATTACAAGGAATCTCTCCATCTCACCTCAGCCCCTGGGTGTCCCACTCTGATGGGCTAGTCTTTGCTATATTCACACATTTGTTTTTGAAACTTTGATTTGAGGAATTTTCTTGCAGCAGACCTTACACACTCATGCCAAGGCACTCTATCCCCTGGCAATATATAGGTCAATAGAAGTTTCTACTCCAAAAGAAATTTCTAAGATTTGGGCTGCTCAAAATTACTTTCCAAACAGCATGAAACTTCTCAGGAAGTAACTGCATAATCAACACTTAGTGGTCACAGATATAAATCTCAATTAAAAAAAAAACAACAGTTATTTCCCCTTTTCTTATAGCTATACCATTAACGGTATATTTTTCAATCGTTCAAAGTTCCCTTGTCTTAGGACCTACTTATACTGTCTCTGTGCCATACCTGGGACAGTCAATGCAAACCCCCTCCCTCCAGCTCACTCACTGTTACCAAATCTTAGAAATGAGGTACCACATCTGCCTTTGCGTAGTTGAGTAATAGTTCAGTAGCATGCCCAAAAAAGGGAGACTAAAGAGCATCACTAGGTTACATGCTCAGCGCACATTTCCAGGTAGGACACAGAGGCAGTATAGAAACGTCTATAAAAAAATTCTAGCCACACACCCAGCAATCACTCCCAGAATTTTGCCAAACGCAGGGTTTAGGCTCGAAGCGTGCAAGGGGTTAACTGCTGGGGAGGCTGGGAATTCTCCCAATACTCCTGCTGGAACTAAAGATCCTGGAGATAACTTCTGCTTCTCTGCTCATGGTCAAACAGATCACCACACTTGGGAACAGGAAGGAATTTTACCCGATGGTCAGATCATCATGGACTGAGGGTGTTTTGCCTTCCTTGCAGAAGAAAGCATGGTCCTTGATTTTCTCAAGTGTATTTTAACAAACTACTTCCTGTCCTTACAGCAGAATGACATTAACAGTGCCCTTGTCCCACTGCTTTACTTGCAGCAGTTTCAGGTGGTCTTAATGTTTTTGGTTACTGTACCTGGTAGCTGTGAGAGAAGGTTGTCTGGGCAGTTTTAAGAATAGGTTAGACATGCACTTGCATGAAATGGTTTAGGGAGATGATCCTGCCTTGAGCAAGGGGTTACACTAGATGACCTCCTGAAGTCCCTTCTAGACTTTTTTGTGATACTATTTGCAGCAATGCTCTTTCACATTTAAGTTTGGTGTATACCATACTGCAAATCTCAATGTTTTTGCTAATAACATTTTCAACACCATCTCTCTAAAGAGGAAATGGATGCTGTGCACTGGCTGAGATAAATGTCTAGCAACATAGATCATTTGGGAAAGTGCTTTGAGTCATGGTTTAAGCTATATGTGCACGTTTTAAAAACCTGAAATAACTGGGTTGATTTTACGGAATGCTCCTGTGGTTTGTGTATGCATCTGTGCAGGTTTTATCTTAGGAACCAGTTGATGAAATAACAAAATTTAGACCACCAAACTCTACCATGCTTCAGTTGAGACGCAGATTCCAAGTCAAAAGAAGCACAGAAATTTCAGAATCCTTAGTGTTGATCTTCCAAACAAAAAGCACTGCTCAGCTTTAAGTATAACAGAGCTCACGTTCCACTATAACTAATTCAGCTTGAAGGAGTTGGCCACAATACTTCTATTTTTTGTTTTTAAATTCTCTCAATAGTTTTAATATCTCCCCATAACCTGGAGGCTAAACTATTCAAGTTCCTCTAGAACCCCAGATCAGTTAACTGCCCCCATCTCTCAGGAAGCAGAATTCTACATCTGCCAACATATCCTACAATTTCTGTCCAGGGAAGGGGTGGTTAGGGAGACAAGTAACTTTAAACTGTAGGACATTTCTATTTTCACTTAAACATGGTTTGGTAATAGGGATGGGGCTAGTCCAAAGTGCTTGGAACACTTAAAGTATTGTGGGCTGGTGCAACTGTTGTGGTAACTCATCTAATTCTTCTGTTACACAGGAAAGGCAATCATTAACACAGATTACTTTAGACCATTACTTTAGTTCTTATTCAGTTTGCATGCTCTCTCTATGGTAGTGTTTGTGCATGGACCAGCTTTTGACTGAGGACAACCACTATATGATTATCCTATTTCAGCTTTGTGAACAAGCCACAAAAGAAGTTTGGATTTTGCATTAGGCAATGCTCAGCCACAATTACAGTAGCCCCTGAGTGTTTATCACAAGAAGCACCTAACAAACTGGCTCATCCAGTAGGAGTTGGATTCTGATCTCAGTTACACAAATGGAAACAAATAGAATTTCCCCAGTGTTAAATAACAGAAGATTCAGGCCTAAAAGTTGGGCATTTGAAGCTTCTGGTCTTATGCCACCAATTTGATTGTATTCCTTTATGAGGGTCTCCAAGAGTACAAATTCATCTGAAAAATATAAAAGTACTGAAATGTTTCATTTTGAAATATACCAAAATGTTTATTTTAAGAGATAATGCCCCTCCCTGCCACTGCATTTGACCCAGAATTTTAATTTATCTTTTTCAATTGGAAATTTGGAAAATGTGCATTGGGCAAACTGAAATTTTTGGAGGGAGTGAGGGAGTAGATATCATAGGGTAGTAGAATTCTAAACACTCTGGGTCAATCTTAGCCCTAATTTTCCTTCTCCCCACCCCAAAAACCCCCCACAGCTGTAGTCAATATTTATATGTTAAGTGATTTGGGATTGGACAGACAAATCATATGATGCATATAGGGAGATGCCAGGGGCGTACCTCAGTAAGTGAGGAAACCACAACTCTGCTTACAGAGATGCATCCTAGGGATTCCAGGGGGCTCATGTCTCTAAGCAGAGAAAGCTGAGTAGGCACTCGTAGGGATTGGGGCACCTGATCCTGTGCAGAAATTCCCAGGGTGCACAGGATCAAGCTCCTCAAGCTCCAGAAGAATGCGTCACCCATTGTCCCACAGCATCAACAGGCACGACAATAGGTAATCTTTACTTATTTCAAACTGTAGATTAGTTGAATCCCACTCTGAACAAAAAGAACAAAAACTAGAGAAACGGAGCTAAGTAGCCACAGAAGAAATATTTATAGCTACTCTTCTGGCTATGTATGGAATTAATGTTGTTTTAAATTTATGGTACATCTAAATTTTAAAAAATTACAAGAGAATGTTCAGCAATGAGAAGTGAAGATGCAGTTTATTTCTTATAATCAGTCTTCTAGCCAGACTGATTTAGCTTTTACAGTGTTATCTTCTAGAGGAGAATAAAGGGATGAAGTGAAAAGAATAAGAATGTTACTAACCTGTGGGAAAAGGGAGTAAGTTGCATTGTCAATAGTGAAGGAGTATAAGAATTCCCCATCAAACCAGAGGTTCTTTCCCATGGGGGAATTGTGTTTTGTCATAGCAAAGAGATGACCAGGATCACAACAGTCTTCCAGCAGTTTCCTAATAAAAGCAACAAAAAGAGAGGAAGAATGTGTTAATTAGGACTCAGTGATTGGCTCCTCATTGAGAGACTTTTCATTTTCACTTGAAGTTCTAGCCAACTGATATTCCATACATCTTGTAATGTGGCTAAGTCAGGCCTGGTTACCATTAACTGTACTAACAACCAGCCAGAAAAAAGGAGATTTCTATGTTGCTGATACAACAGATAATGCACCCTAACAAAATATTCAGAACACAAGGTATTTAGAAATTCATATGCAAACCCAATTATTTCATGGTCATTCCTGCACTTCCAGATGAACAATTTTGATTTGCTTCAGGAAATCCTTAGATAATTTTTCCACAAGCTTTTCCTGGGTAAAATTTGATATTTATCGAAAAATATTTTTGTTTTTCAACTAGGTACAATGAATAAATAAAAAAACCCATCAGAGCTCTCTAAGAATCACAGACATCAAAATCAAATATATGAATTTTAAAACTAGGTTGTAAAGTACACAATGTTGTATTGTTTGTTACTAGAGATGAGCCTATAGAAACCCCCCAAAACTGTAGTTCCAACCATCAGTTCAGGTCCGAGACTAGACTGATCAGTTCGGGTCTGTTTCTTCTTCTTAGGAGGAAAATTGTTTGCTCCTCTACCTTGATTAAATTCTGTCTTGCAAAACTTCATTAAGTTGAAATTGTGCATGGCATTCTTCTCTTCTCTTCCCAAACTGTTGTCTCATTAAATACAGTTAAACAAAGATATTGTATTCCAGTCAAGAAGTGTCTAGATTTTTGTGAGGGAAAAATTGTTCCTATGAAATATTTAATCAGTCCTACATATGCTCTAAAGAATAATCCTATTCATGGAATTAGCTGAATGGCAGGAGTATTCATGTGAGTAAAGTTTCAGAACTAGTGCCACTGTCTTCAGTGCTCTAAGCAAGGATCACAGAACTGGGCCAGGTAGAAGTATGTGGGAGTAGTACCTGGGGAAGCAGAGTCAATAAGCAGAGAACCACTCTTCCAGTTCTTGCAGTGGAGCCAATAAGCAGAGAACCACTCTTCCAGTTCTATATATTGATTGAACTAAGTTTGACTGAACCTATGACTGGGGTTTGTGTGGGTGGGTATCGCTTTGGAAATATGAGTTCTGGACCTCAACAAGCTGAACAATTAATACTTGGAACTCTGGGAATTGGCAAAATTCTAGATAATCAATTGGGTTTTGATCATTTGATTTTAAATATACAACAAAAGTTGTGTTCTTATTTGTCCCCAAAAGCATTAGACTTCAAACCTTGACTGCTGCCACTAGCACCTGATAGAAAGGTTAGAGGTGGAAGGCACTATATGAACGTCAGCTGCTAGAGATATATGGCATATCAATTGTGAACAACTGATTTTCTGTCCAAAATGGGCTTTTATTCAAAACCTAAAATAATTCCCTAAAATGCTGACTTCATAAATTTCTAGGTTTGCAAAAAAGTTTATACCAAATCAAATTTTATCAAAAACCTGTTTTCAAAATTCTTCATTTACAAAAAAACTGCTGATTTTTAGTGAATGAAAAAAATGGTATAACTTTTAACAACTTTTTTAAAAAACATTTCAATTAAAATTAAAATGGGACCCTTTTGAACCCTTGTGAAAACGGATACTACAAAAGGTTTCATAATTAAAAATATTCTACTGAGTTCTAATAAGTAATTATTTCCTATTTCTACCTGGGATGCTTATTTCATAGTTTCATAGATATTAGGGGCTGGAAAGGACCTTACAGATCATCCGGTCCATCCCCCCTGCACTTGGGCAGGAAAGACTGCTAGGATCAGATGACCCCAGCAAGATGGGTGTAAAGACTTTTTTTGAAGATTGCCAGGGTGGATGACTATACCACCTGTACCAAACCCTCAGCACTTGACTTGTAAAGATGTTTTTCCTTATGTCAAACCTGAAGCTATCTTCAATCAGTTTGTGCCCATTATTTCTCGTCCTCCCCTGGGGGCCTTGGTGAATAGATGCCCCCCCTCCCCCCCCAGCCCTGATGTATGCCCCTGATATATTTATTTATTGATATTCATTCTGTTGTGCCTAAGGCACTAACATGAAGGCACCATAAAGCAGCCCATTGAAGAAAATGAAAGTACACAGGAAGAATGCTAAGTAATAGAGAATGAAGCATAGAAAGTAACTAGAGAAGGTGGATTGAATGCTGGAACAAGAGCAAGGGGCTATTCAATGAAAATGAAATGTAGAAAATTAAAAGAGGTAAAAGGAAATAAGTTGCATGTGGTGCATAAATAATATATGGAACTCATGGCCACACAATAATATTAAGACCAGGAGCAAGATTCCAAATAACAAAGGGAAATTTATAAGTATTTTAGCTCAGAACTAGATCCTCCCGCTCCAGGGCATAAGGAAACCTCTAGCTTATGAAAGTTAGGAAGAAATTTTCTTTGAGGCAGCTTATCCTATAACCCCCTACTCTAGGGTTTGCTTACACTGTCCTCAGAGACACAACACTAATATGATCTAGAATGGCAATTTCTATTCCTAGACATACTACTGGTTATGGTGAAAAATTTCTGATTTCCTTGTACTAAAGGAGGGATTTCATGTCATACCCATCCTGAAGCCCAAAATAAAACTTCCATCACAGATCTGCAGTGACTGGAAAGATTGAGATTCAAGAGTGGTTAAGAGACATCCAAAATCCCTCTCTGAAGCACTTTTTGCCACATAGTGAAGGGTACAGACAGACATTTGTCTGAAGTGCTAAAAATTTCTAAAAAGTTTGCAGTGCCACAAAAACCTGACAGGACAAGCATGTACAGTCATTCAATGCCTGGTGCTGAAAGCTGAAGAGCATGGCAAGAGTATATACTTCCAGCACCCCCACAGCCTCTGCCCACTCCCCCCTTACTGTCAGATGCTGCTCAAACTCTGTTCCCTGCCAGGTCACACAGCCATTGCCAGGCCATGCAGCAGCAGTGGCACTGCTGACTGTCTGGGCAGGGGATGGAGTTTCCCTGTACTCCATGCCCAGGAGGGAATCCAGTCCAAACTAGAGGCAAGCTTGACCTGACAGTACAGGGAAAAGGTGTTGGGGGGACGGGGGAGGGTTGGGGGGACAAAAGCTGTAGAGGGCAAGCAGAAAGGGAAGGTGAGGAAAAAGAGGCAAAAGGCTACTGTGGGTCTGACTGTGGCCGCAACCCAGGCTCAGGGACAGAGTCAGAGCTGCAGCAGGTGCCTCCCCACTATGCTCTGTAAGCAAATCTAAGATTAGTAAACTCATTTTTAAAATTAACTTCCGAGGGTGAGTGTTTTCCAAACAAAACAATATAGCACTGAACTTTCACTCCAACTGGGTTCACAGGTTGTAAGGACAAAAGGGATCATTGTGATGATCTACTCTGACCGCCTGTGTAACATAAGCTATACGACTTCCCCGAATTAATCCTTGTGTGAGAATCTCTTTCAGCAAAATGGCCAACCTTATTATAAAATTTTACAGCGATAAAGACTCCAACATAGACTTTGACTGGTTGTTCCAATGGTTAATTACCTTCACCGTTAAAAAAATATTATTTCACTATAAAACAAATTCTATGTACTTTAACATGCTTCTTTTCTGAACTTTATTCATTTTTTCTAGTTTCCTTATTGAGTTTAATTTCCTTTCCCTTTGCTGTGTAAAATTGCAAACACTATTTCTCTAGGAAGTATACCATATATGTATCTCATGTATAGGTAATGACTTCTCCATTCTTGCTTGGTATCCTCCTCGTTATACATCCAAGGACCTTATTAGCCCTTTAATAACAGCATCAAATGGGGAGCTCATGTTCAACTTAATATCCCAAGTTTTTAACAGAATCACTGGGTCCCAGTACAGAATCCTTCATCCTCTATACCCTGTATTTGTTTGCATTTACTAAAAATTCTACCATTTCTCTTTAGTAATGGATCATCATTAAAATTCCCTTTGTTCCTAATGCACTTAAAATCCCTCCTAATAGTCGTTAACTCTGCTATTTATTTTTCCTTACATTTGTTAAAATGGGAGTGTTTACATCCTGTGCTAACACTAGAACCAGGAGAATAATTTGCAACAAATAAATTTCCTTAATGCATGTAATCCTATTTTTCTGCTTATGTAATGTCCACATGTAGATTTCAGTTTCCCCTAATTTGCTGGAAATATATTTGAAAACCTTAGATTTATACACAGTTATAGCAATGTATCCCAGCTGAGGATCTTCCCCCCATCCTCATATGTATTTGGTACAAATATTCAAAATTCAAACCACAGTTTGTTATGTGACCAATCACAACTGATCCACATGGTATCAGTTCTCTTTTAATCTTTTCTAATCTTGAGGAAAGCCTGAAGGTTTTCAGACCTCTCATTGAGAGGTAGCAGCTTAGATAAAGACAAAATTAATAGAATTAGGATTCTGGGCTATGCAGACCAGAGGTATTTTCCCATTAAATGTCAAAATAGTGTAAATGTTATAGTCCAGGCACAAAGTTACAATTTAGTTTTCTTTCTACTTACATGTAGTCCTATAGAATGTGGTCTGGTTTTAGGCTGGCTCATTTAATTGTCTTTGTTCTAGTACCCTACTATGGGCTTTTGGTTGCGAAGTACCCCCACTCCCAAGTAGTATCAAGATGATACAAAATATAAAGCACTTACAGTACAAATAGTCAAGCATATTGCTGTTCTGAAAGCACTGCAGGCAAAACATTCTCTGTTAAAAATTTAGGAACACTCTGAACTATTTTTTGGAAAAAAAATGCAGGCTGAGCTAAAACTAAGACACTTGCAAAAGTAACAAATATATGGACATGTCACATGAAATTAAGAAAGTACAGCTTTGCAAAAATTAATTTCTGAAAATTTGGTTAAACTGTAATTCTCAGAGCTTAAGGAAAAAGTCTAACTGGAATGCATTAGAATTCATGAAGCAGAATATAGAAATGACCCAACATATTTCACAGCCAAGCTTGCTAGAATGGGACATTTTATGAAACATAAAGCCACTGCTAGCTTTTCCCCAAATGTTATTATTATTATTAATAAAAATAATAATAATAATGTTAAATGTCAGTCCTCAGTACCTACTAAAGCAATTCATGATGAACAGATTTCAAAGCATTTGATAGCAGTATGTCACATTTCTCTCTCTGTTAGAGATCAGAAGGATTTAAAATTGCAGACGGAATCAGTCACGGTACTGAATCCTAGTTATACCCATTTAACCAAACTCAGTAATGTAACCAGGGGTGGGTAAGCAACACACCAAATTTAGAAGAAGTACCAGAACAGCAGCCCTGTGCTAAGTACAGACAGTCAAAAAGCCCGAGGATGAATCAATTCAGTCTTTGCAGGTTGGTCTAAGCTGCAGAGATTGAACCAAGAAGCAAATGAACATTCCCTTTTGATTCACGAAATGCAACCACATGCCTGCAGTGGCTCAAGCCAGAAGCTGAGGGGTGCTAGAGCACACCTCCCAGCCTGCCAGCCACTGCCAAAGGGAAGGGACTGAAGCTCCAAGGCTTCCCCACCTCAGGCAGGAATTTACCATGGAGAAGAGTGTGAAAGATAGGGTTAGATTCTCCCTACTTACACTGTACCTCTGCTGTCTACATTGGCTGGAAGTGGTGATCCCTATAGGAAAGAAGAAATGGATACCAGGCTGTCAGTGGGCTTTGCATGTGGGGCACAGTCCCTTCCAAGCTTTCTCCCCCATAATCCTGCCCCCCCTCGCTCCCTCCCTACCTCCAGCAAGGAAAAGTCTGGCAGCAGATACTGGCATTTCCCCTAGGTGGTCCCCAGCTGGGATTTCCACCCCCACCTCTTTGTCACCCATCCATCACTGCTCCAGAGGGGCAGGGTCAACCCTGTTCTCTGGAGCAGACAGCCCAGCCCAGCCCAGGGCTGCAAAGCATGATTTAACTTGAACCAGGAAGGGGTCTGGGACAGAAGTTTCATAAACTGGTTTGACCTAAACCAGTGAAGTCTGATTACTACATTCAACCAGGTTTATCTTAAACCAGTTTCAGCCATTTTGAAACTGGTTTATATGCAGTGAACTTCTGTTCTGTTACAGGTTTTAACCAGTTTCTGATCACTTAACCAATTTAGGTGTAACTTCTGTCCCTAGCCCTAGTAATCCATGCAGTATTAGCAGCCTGCACCTGGGGAGCCTACACAGTGCCAGCAGCAGCACCTGGGATCAGATAAGACTTTCCAGTGCTAAACACACTTGTCCCTCTACTGCACAATACAACTCTTACCCTCTCCCCCTGGTCTTCAGTGCTCAGCATTCTGCAGCTCTGGCTAATAGGTCCAGGGCACTAAAACTCCTAATTACAATTGTATCCTCAGCTGTAAGCACACCTGCCTCAGAGAAAGATGGAAAGGCCAGAAGTGCCTGCTCAAGGGAGGGAATTCCTCTGCTCAAGCTAAGGAATAAAGCTAGGTGAAACTTCAGTCAAATCTATTTTTGGTGAAAACAATGCAGATTTGAGAACTCTTAAAATGGTCCACTAACTTGTTTTTATTTCACTCAGCTGTTAGCAAAAAAGTCATTATGTTCAAAATGTCTGAAATGTTCAAAACAGCATGTTTCCATTTTTTTATTGGAAATGGCTTTTCATTAAGAAAGGCCCTCCAGTTGTGTTCCTGAAGAAATAGCAGAAAGCTCAGAATAAAACCAAAATGCTTTGTTTGACTGGCTATGATTTTGTTGCTGCTGTTTTAAATAGTAGAAAATGTTCAGAGCTAGCTGTAACATGGAGCCTCTAGCCCCTGGTACTTTAAGAGTAGGTGAAGGTAGTATTCATTATGTGGCTTGCAACATTTGCTGGCAGCTGAACTGGGGACAGCTGCAAAGGGGCAGGCAACAGAAGGGAGTTAGGAGTCATAACTCCAAGGAAATAATATGCTGCCAACCATTTACATGGAGCAAGCAGGAATAGGATTGAGCACCAAACTCCAGGCAGCTATTTAAGTAGTGGCTGTGGCAGAGCTGGGGAGGCTAATGAAAAATTAGACCCAGTTAAGAAGTTAGAAATCATGTAGCTGGAAAAGGGATGGAGCCAGGGCTCTGGAACATGAGAGGTATTCAGGCTCTGGATATGGAGAGAGAGATTACTTTCCTGAAACTGCTGCAGAGCCACCCTTGTCAGCATTGGAAAAGGAGCACTGGGAGTGAGAGCTATCTTGGGAGTAACCCAGAAAGAACTGGGACTGCTTGGCTGGTGCTAGCCAGCACCCAAGAAAACCTAAGCTATCTATGGAAGTGGGGAAAACCTCTGGGAAAGACAAACTCCAGACTATATGTGAGAGAGGAAAGGCAAACCTCAGGATCCAGTGAAGCACTGATTAACAACTGTACAGTCTAGGAATTAAAAATCCAGTTGTTCACACAACTCTGCCTAGCCATTCCAAGTATCCAGTGTAGAACACCTTTGTCCTCCTCTGTACTGTAATCCCAAGATCATCTTGGACCAATACAAATAGTCCTTACTACTTTAAAGTCACTGGAGGCTCAAATCTTGCTTATTTCATCTTGAGGGTACACTATTTGGGGACTGAGCTAACTTTGTCCAGTTTCCTAGGTTTGTGGAACCATGTTATGATGGAGAACAGATGATTCTTTTTCACTATATCATCATGGAGAGATTTGGATTCAAAGCAAATTTACCACTCATAATTTCTGAGGGCTCCTATACAGAAGATTGACAGCATTTATGAGTTTCCCAACACAAATCCACCAATAAGCATCAACTGATCCTAAAGGACCATCTCTTAAGATGAAACAGTACTTCAGTTCTTAGACTCTGGACCTTCCAAAAAAAACCCTGCAAAAAAACTCATTAGTTTATGGCCCAGGTCCAGGTTTGTCTTTTAAGCTGAATGTCATCTACTGAAAAAAAGAGCTGTATTTAAGGAGGCAGGCCTCTTCTGTGAACTGTGTTCTCTTTATTCAAAATAGTAAACAGATTAATAAACCTTTCCACTGGTCTAAACACAGACAAGATCTCTGCTACCCTAAATACTTTCATTCACTTCTGCTGTTCCTGAATTTAGAAATCTCACAGTACAACTGCATCCAGAAACTGTAAAGAAGAACAAGACTTGAATTTAACATAAGGTATCTTTTTTACTGACAAAGTTGTTAAAAAACAAAAACAAAACGAGAACAACCCCAGCTTGTCTCTTGATGCTTATACCAAGTGTGCAAGGCTGCCTACTAGAAAAAATAGATGATCTTGTGTCTACCATCCCACCATATTTATCTTGATACATGTAATCTGAGCAAATGTGATCAGGAAGTCACTGTAATAACCAGTGTGAAACAATAAGCAGTATGAAAACAATTCCAGGTTGCAACTGTGCTGCAAGCCCACTCCCCCCCACCCCCAAATCTGCCCCTGGCCCCAGGTGCCACAACGGAATAGGGGAAGCCTCTTTTCCCCCAATCCCTCTTCTCCTGCACTTCCTATCTCTAGCCCCACTAGAAAGTAGAAGCAATGTGAGCATGCATCAGTGAGCAAATGGCATGTTGGGAAATGTAGTTCTGCCCAAAAGCAGTGGGTAGCAGCAGCTGGAGTTTGCTGGTGGTGGGGAAGGGGGTAGGGAAAAAGGGAAACCCCTTTTTTCCACTGAAAACATGTTTCCAGGGGTTGCCTGTTTGACGTGCATGTTGGTGGCAAAAAAGAGATGACATCAGCCCTCAGCAGAAGCAACCTTCAGTCACCACCTGCTGCCAGAGTTTGCATTCAGAGCCCTGCAAGTAAGGTGTAGGGGAAGAAAGAGGACTACCTTAGGTGTGGTCTTCACCAGTAACACCTTTGCCTAGCATCATGGTCTCCTGAACGCATGGTGTTCAATTTTGCCTCAAGATTCTCTTCAGAGGATCTATCTGCATTGGATAAAAGGGCATATCTACTCATTCCTGGACTTCATGCTGCAGAACTTGCACAAAATGGCGTCTTCACTAAACCAGCTTCCAGAAATGTCAGTCTCTCTTGCTACGCTATATGGTACACTACACAGACCAGGAGTGTCAAACTCACCCTGAGCAACAGACCAGGTCCGCAGGGCCAGCAGCATCTACAGCTGGACCATATTTTGGTTGCATTGTGAATCCAGGGACAGGCAGCCGTACAGGGTTGCATTTGAGCAGCAGCATAGAGCTGGGGGGGCTTCTGGTCATGGTCATGTCCATCAGAGGCAAGAGACCCTGAAGTCTGAAGCAGGCCATGTGTCTCCAACTGCCAACGGACCAGATCAAGCCCATAGGCCACGTATCTGACATCTTGTTATAGATACACTCTGTAAGTAACCTAATGCTACTGTTTCAAAGATCCACTGACTTGACTCTCACTGCAGCTGTGGGAGGTTAAGGAATGTTACTGCTTGAACTGGTATCTTGGAAAACAGGAACATGGGGTAGAGGTTTTGTTGGAGTGAGGTGAAATTAAGGAATAAATTGTTGCCTCCCAAAACATCAGGACAATGAGCCAGCACTGACATGGGAGTCAGAAAAAAAAAGTATATAACATTGTCCTACTACAGGAAGGGAATTGCTAGCTTTCACTTATTTTTCAGTCCTTTTTACCAGGTGGGGCTTCAAATAAAGAACTCTTCAGTCATGAAAATGGAGAAGCTTACTGCAAGTGTGTGCATTTTCCAACATCAATAAGAAATTAAACAGAAACCAAACAAAGATGAAACAAAATAAAATACTCAAAACATTTAACTGAAAACAGAATAAAGTAGCCAATGAACTGAGGGAACTGAGTTTATAACTGAGTTTATTTAGTCTGGAGAAGACAGACTGAGGGGGGGATTTAACAATAGTCTTTAACTACCTGAAGGGGGGTTTGAAAGAGGATGACGCTAGACTGTTCTCAGTGGTGACAGATGACAGAACAAGGAGCAATGGTCTCAAGCTGCAAACGAAGTTTAGGTTAGATATTAGGAAAAACTTTCTCACTGGGAGGATAGTAAAACACTGGAGCAGGTTACCCAGAGAGATTGTGGAGTCTCCATTCTTGGAGATTTTTAAGACCTAGATAGACAAAACCTTGGCTGGGATAATATAGCTGGGGATGGTCCTGCTTTGAGCAGGGGGATGAATTAGATCTCCTTAGGTCCCTTCCAAACCTTAATTTTTATGATTCTATGAATGAACTTGCTAATTCACTCAAGAAAAATGTTTCACTAAAAAATTAATTGGAAGTGCTACATCTTTGCAGTTGGCAAATAATATTTTTCTTTGAAATAGCAGATTCACCAAAAAAATTTAAGTGGCTGTAATCAAATGTAATTGGTAATATTTGAGAGCATGACACAAGCAAGAGATAGGAGAAGTCAGTGATCTACAATACTGTGATTTCTCCAAATGCTTCTGTATTTCAGCTTACCGACTCTGCTAAAAGCAAATAGTACAGAAGTGTGGTCCACAAAAATGCTCCTGTGCTCTGAGACAGAACTCTTTGAGCTCAGTAGAAGTCATCCCATTGGTTTCTGGGGGTCAGATTTAAAACTAATTGAAGAAAATGCATCTAGCCAAAGAGAGGCTTTTTCTCAGTAGCATCTTAAAGTATGTGAAAAACAAATGTTATTCACTGGGGCAGGGAAACAGGGAGGAGAGAGAACCCTTCTAGGAGAAAGCTAACTATTCTTTCACTGCATCTGCAAAGGCAAAGTTATTAGGCAATTGGTAGATCTTATACATTTATTTTGCATAAGAAAATGTTAAATTATTTTGTTACCATTACATAACATGTTCCCATGGGCATAAACAACTGTGCCCATACTGGGAGGAGAAAATTAATCCATCAAATACTTAGGGCAAGGCTGTCCAACTGATGGCCCACAGGCTGCAAGCAGCGCCGGTGAAGCCACTTCTTTCACTGCAGTGTGGTAGGGTAGGGCATGGGGTGCATTCCCTGCCAGCACAGCTCCTCTGACTGGAGGCAGGGGACTGTGTACAGCCTGTGCAGCCCATGTGATCAGAGGTAGGGGTTCACATACAGCCTGTGCAGCAGGGGATTGGGTGGAGGACCCACATGTTGCCAGAACAGCCTTTGTGGCTAGGGACAATCCTAGGAGTGCCCATTCAATGTGTATCCCCCAGACACACCAAAATTGGGCAGTCCTGGTTTAGGGATTGCATTAATAAACTAATCACTGAGTTTGGAACAGAAGCTTAGTTATTTGGCCAAGTGGAAATGCTTAGTCAAAAAGCAAAATTACCCATTAAGGTATTACCTTTTTAAACAACAGCTAAATAAACAGCATGCAAATTTGAAAACA